TATGTTTCATTATTTAAATATTATATATCTGAAATTTCAGGTGAGATAAATGGCTGCAATCCCAAACTATTGTCAGAATGATCACACCCAATATTTATCACGTTTGGCTTTGGTAGTTAGTATGTAAAACCAAAGGTTCACCAACATTTCAAACCATGAGCACGATCGGACCGGAAAATGGAAACCGATCTGTTTTACCCCATAACCATTATTTTACTAAACATTTGATTTGGTCAGCAAACCACTGACTCAGGCAGTCAAATCATCCAACGGTTTTAACCATTTTTTTATTTTTTTAATTTTTTAAACTTTTTTGTTAGAACGGGTCATCCATTCAGTTTGAATGGTCAAACCATTCAATCCAAGAATCAGACCCCTGACCGGTTCATTGTCCGTTCCGATTATAAAAACCTTGGTCATACCACACGGCAAACTACTGTTAAAATGTTTCTCAGATTGTGCTTAGAGGTGTAAATCAGCCTAGCACGGCCCATGGTAGGAGCCTGTGCAGGCCTGAGCCATGTTGGGTTGGTTATGAGTCTGCCTTGGGCTTAGGTAAACTCGGGCTAGTTTTTTCTTTTTTACTTTTTAATTTTTATTTTATTTTTTGCTAAGTAAAGAGTCAAAGTGACAACTTTAGGAAAAATAAAAATTTAACGAAAAATAATTAACAAAATACCAAATAGACAACAAATTTGAAAAAATTAGAAATTTTATTTCATTTGAATTTGAACAATACAATAAGTGACATGTTGGAAATGGAATAGAATATAAAAATAATATATAAATTGAAAATAAAAAATTACATTGTTGAAAAAATAACAAATAATTTAAATAAAATTTATAGTAATTTTAAAAATGCTATACAATTATTGAGTATATACAAAAAAATATTGACTTGATCATTTTTCTTCAAGTTCCACCTACATCTCCTTGACTTTGACATCAAAGCCATGCCCTCCTTTACCTTGCAATCTATCCTCAACATTCAGTCAATATTTCAAGTATATGCACATCTACAGACTTTCATCATTCATGTAGTTTCTCTTATCGTCCAACACCCTATTACCTACACTAAAACAACTCTAATGTAATTGTAGACACTGGAGGGGTTAGTAAATCACATGCCATGGTGGGAAAAATTGGATAATTTTTTTCTGTCCACTCCACCAAATTAAAATATCAAAATTATTTAGCTCCTCTAAGTTGAAGAAATCACCTAAATTAGAGGTTGTTTGACAAGTTTTTCGGAAAGATCTTTTGAAAGCTTTGACAATCAAAAGACGTAGTGAGCTTTTGCATTAAGATCTTGACAGCTTGAAGACCATTTCATTAAGGTGTAACTTTTTGCGGAAGGACGAGTTGAAAAAAAAAATCGAAAAGCTCCATTTGAAACTTCCCAAAAAGCACCCAAAACGGGCTTCACACGTCTTTTCAACACATCTTTTGGCGGCTAGATCTTTTTTCCCAACCAAACGGGAAAAAACGAAAATGCGGGCTGCCAAGCTTCTAAAAAATCGATAACCCGCACAAAAAGGCATGTCAAACGGGGCCTTAGAAAAATTTGCTTGTAAATAAAAATTAAGTTCAATAAATGAACTTATTAATTAAGTCATAGTAGATTTCTGCCTTTTACTTATTAGAGACCAAAATTTTTATTTTCCACTATTGGACTAGATGTTTTAGAAGTAGAAGTTGCATATGTACAAGTTGCAATTTTCCTATGCCCTACCATTTGAAATTCATATAAATTATACATTTCAAATAATAAATTATTAATTTCTTCTTTTCTATTTCCAATTTTAACATATGTATTTTCACAATATGGATCTAAACCCTGATTAGACCCCCCCCCGGGCGCCCCTAACATCTATATCATTAGTCAAAAGGGGGGATGTACATGAGAGGATGCACAACAGGCCTTGAAAAACAAAAAGAAACAAAGCCTACTTATGAAGGCATTGTGCTCGCATTGTACCATAAATTCCTTCGAAACCCTGATTTCACTAGGCCATCTAGCAGCTGATTTAAGCTTCTAGGAATCCATCTAAAGCTGCAGTTCATGTTAGAGATTATCTCTTAGAATTCCAGAAAGAAATGAGTGAGCTTCCGAGGGCCTGGATCATGAGAGGAAACTGAATTGATGACATTTCTTGAGTCACCTTCTACAACCAGAGAAGTGAACAGATGGGCTGCAATTCTAAGCCCTTCCAAGAGGGCAAACCTCAGCGCTGTTGCATCGGAAGTAGAGGTTGGGCTACTGTAAAGCCAAACCAGATATCCATTTTATCTTCTCAAAAGGCCCCCAATTCCTGTAGTCGCAGGGGCTTCTAGGGGTTTTCTAAAACTTCCATCAAAGTTCAGAATAAAATCTGTCTCGCCTTGGGGGCAGCAAGTTAATAGGTCTGAGATTGGGAGGAGAGGTCAATAGCAGATCAAGCCAGCTTCTCTGCACATCTCTATTGGGACCTTCGAAAACCATGCTGTACATCACCCACTGAATAAGAAAAGAATGGCACCGAGCTCTAATTGACTCACGGGAAGAGATCCCGTCTTATTCTATCCTCGAGGATTCTCCTATTACGTTCTTCCCAAAAGCTTCTGCCTCTTCCACCTAGCTTGAACTTCAGGCCAGGCCATTGAGCTAAGAAGTCCTTGACATTGTTTGGGGGACCAGCTGTATTTCCCTCTTAAGATAAGGTCAAGCTAATATTGCCACAAATTCCTAGCCACCCGGAAATTTATAAGGTGTCCTATGGATTCCCCATTTCTGTTTTTAAAAATATAATATTATAAATCAAACCAATCACCTCCACAAAAAACAAACTCTTAAATTGTCTATCCCACATTCCTAAATTTGGCAAAAGATCTCTAGCCTTCAAATCCTTTTGGTCTCTTTTTTTTTTCGGGACAACACCCATAGGCTAACCCATTCAACTTAAATCTCAGATATATCATGATTCAACAGAGGAATCAAAAAGTCTTGCAACCCTATGAGCAACAATATTGCATGACCCAGGATATAGGTAACTGAGAAAAGAGGAAGACGAGTTAGTAAGCTCCTGCAATTGAAAATGAGTGTGTAAATACTCCATTGAGGCTGATAAGATTCCTACCGAACTCTTGGCATCGCCATCAACAATGGCAGATGAAAAACCAATAGTAGAAGCAAGTTTTACGCTTTCAAATAAGGCTTCTGCTTCATGGAAAGGGGTGGTGATGCAGATAGTGGAATGGCTCGAGCATAAAAGAAACATCCATGTGAATCATGTATGATAATGCCAATGCCAGATTTATGTGGGGAAGTGGCACCATCAAACATTGAGAACCCCACCAGGTGGCTTCAACCAATGGGATAGAATTGTGGGATGAAAAGAAAGTCATCCCTGGAATCAGGTGTTGGTTTCTATTAGGAGGAACTATGAGAACAATAAACTTATCTAAATCCTTAATATAAGGCAAGGCCCAGATATTAAGACTAGAAGTTTTAGAAATAATACAAGACGGGTCTTCTTTTAACAAATGGAGAATTTAGTCAATTTACAATTACCTTCCAAACACTGGAAGAATATGAATTAGTTAGAAACCTCCAAAATAGCTTACAATTCAAAGCTAATTTAATAGTTTCAACATTTCTGAAACCCAATCCCCCCAATCTTTAGGAGCACACAAGTTATCCTAAGACGGCCATCTAAGATTAGACATAGGACTTTGACCCCAAGATACCCAACAAAATTTTCTCTGTACTTCCACCATTTAATCCAAAAACTTTTTAGGAAACTTAACAGGGTTTGACTATGATACCAGAAAAACTTGTAATCAATCAACCCGTATCACAAAAGTGGTAACCAATCAGGTGGTATTTATGGGGGTTTTGATTAATCAAAGTTCTGTTGTCATGTCTTTCCAGCAGCATAGATTTTTCCAACTTAATAACATTCATACAATGTTGAGGTAGAGACTGAAGCACAGAATCAGAACTTGACACACTACCTGAGATAAATAATTGGCCTTCTAATTACTCGGCTTATTATAAAATTTATCCAGCACAAACTTTAAATCCCGACAATTATTCCTTTTCCAAGCCAAAGGGACTCTGAGATACTAAAAGTAATATCAAACCTTGGCATCTTTAACTGGCTCCTCAAATCTTTGCACATTTATTGGCACATTCCTACTGGTATAAACACCTGATTTATTTATATTAATTATTTGACAAAGACCATTCCTGAAAAGTTTTCAGAACATCCAATTTGACCAATTTCTTTAGAAGCTCTACCGAATAAGAGAATGTCCTCAGCAAACAATAAATGAATTATACTAGAAGCTTCTCTACAAATAGAAAGACCAGAAATCATGTTCATCCTTTTAAGGAGATAAAAGGATCTCCTTGTCTCAAACATCTAGAATGAGCAAAAAATCCTCCTAGACTACCATTTATAAGTATGGAAAAACCCGTTGATAAAATACTCTAATAAATCATATTGCACTAATCTGAACAAAAATCCAAGGCTCTTAAAACTGTAATCAGATAATCCCAGTTCAATCTATCATAAGCTTTTGAAAGATCCAATTTAATAGCTACATAACCACTATGTTTTAGTTTTTTTTTTTTAAAGGCAGCCCAGTGCACAAGGCTCCCACCAATGCAGGGCCTGGGGAGGGATAGGTGTATGCAGCCTTACCCTTGCTGCATATACAGAGAAGCTGTTTCCAAGATTTGAACCCTGGTCACCCAGGTTGTAATGGGGCAACCCAACCGTTGCACCAAGGCCAACTCTCATAAAATGAATTAATTCCAGAGCCACAACAACATTATCCATTAACTGTCTTCCAAGAATAAAAACAGTTTGAACTGGGAAAATGCAATTTATCTAAAACCATCTTCAACCATTAGCTAGTAATTTAACTAAAATTTTATAGACTACAGTACAGAAGCTAAGAGGTCTAAAGTAATTAACCAAAGATACTTGGAACTTTTTGGGACCAAGACAATAAAATTGGATTCGATCTCTTTAATGATTTCTTATTCAAAAAAATAACAAACAAAATCACGAATATCCTGCCCCATTAAATCCCAAAGTTTTTTATATGCAGGAACCCCATCTGGTCCTAGAGCTTTCAAACTCCTCAAGGACTTAACCACATCCTTTACATACTCAAAAGAAGGGATTTCATAGCTTCTCAATATCATGTTCTTATTTTTTTTTATGAATGAAAGAGAATAAGAAGAGTACAAACAGCCCTGGAGGAGGCATGAGATGCTACCTCCCCTTTAGGATGAGTACAGACCCAAATCTTATCAATAAGCAGAACACAACTATAGGTTAGCCCAATACAAAGAAGCCTGAGAAACCCCTTGTTTAGCCAAAGAGTCTGCCGAGGTATTTGCTTATCTGCTAATCCACTGGAAGTTAACTGACATATTCCTTGTGAGCCACTTTACTTTTTTTCAGGAGATCTTTGTAGCGCCAAACAGCACTGTTCGGATTCTGCAGCCAGCCCACTACCACCTTGGAGTCTCTACACCCTCTCAATATCATGTTCACTAATAACCCGAAAAAAAAAGATCATCTTCAAACTTTCATTGCAAGACAAGAAAGGAAGAAGGGGAATGATTAACAAAAATATTAGCAATCCCTTCCAGATTATTAACAAAAATATTAGCCAAACATTTTGAAAATGATTAACAAAAGTATTAGCAAACCCTTCCGTACTATTAATCCGTTCTCCTTCATCATTTTTAATCCAATCTATTCTATTTCTCCTTCTGCTTGACCTATGAAAGTAATGAGAATTCTGATCTCGACATGATAACCACAAGTATCTAGATTGCTGCTACCAAAATTGTTATTGTTGTTTCAAAATTTACTCTTTAATAGCCAAACACTCATCTAGTTTCTATTTAGCATAATCAGTCTCTAAATTTTCCAAAAACCAAATCCAGGTTTACAGCTAGCATTTTCAGAGCTTCCATCAAGAAAATTCATAGAATATGTCAAGGGATTTAAAAAACCTTCTTGTGGATGTAATAGTTTGTGCAAATTGAAAGCCCTACCCTTCAGAAACAAAGAATTTTCAATTACTTTCAAACAGGAACAAGCATTGGTCTTTGTACTGAAGAAACCGGGATCTTCAATACATAGGAACTAAATCTGATAAATAAAGGGCTTCAGTCCCCGTTCGTGCTTCCCAAACCAATAAACTAAAAGTTACAGTGGAGAATGGAGAGTTTATATTACACAAACACTAGTGAGAAGAACATATCTTTTGCACATGAGCAAATAGAATGAATGTTGTGACCAAGGTTTAAATTTTAAAATATTAGTATGATGCCCAATGGCATATTATATCAATTTTTGGTCCATGCATGTTGTGCATGGAGCGATAGGTGAGTACATGGCATGGTAGGGCTTTAGAGGGCTATTTTATATTGAAGTGGCATTGTGATGAAGCTACTATATAAAGCATGAAGAGTTAAGCCATACAAGGAAGTATGCTAATTTAGGTTTTTTATTTCTCATGCCATTTCTTAGATGAGAGCAGATCTGCTGTGCAGAAAACAGTGGGTGCACACTATGCACAGAACAGTACAGCTGCACACTGGGAATATCTCCCCATGAATGACACATACAAGTATGGAAGATATTCCCATGTGCAACTGTAGTGTCCTGCGAATAGTGAGTGCACATCAGATCCAGACTCCTGTCAGATAGCATGCTGTAAGAGGTAAATTGTCCACCTGGATCTACTTGTTTCAATGTAAAATGGATTGAAATTTTTCCAGGATGAAATAATAGCCATATTTTCCCCTTTTACAATAACAATTGTTTCTTGGCAATTTCCATAAAAACAAAAAAGAGACAGGAAAAAATCATTAACCGGGATGGAATAGTAGTTAAATATTTCAGTCTGGAAATTTTTATGTCCATTTTAAGAGAAATAAACATCCATAAGAGTAAATTTTAATAGTGAGAATACACTAGTAATGGATAAGTGAATGATTTCTCGGAACAATATGAAAAACTAGAAGCAAAGAACAGATGCAATGAAACAATGAATTTGTGTGCATACACAATAGACTTGTAAAATGGGGATCAATGCCGGCTATCAATTCAAGCTATGCACAGCACTAACACTATACTGGAACTGAGGGAATCAACCTACAATAAGGCACATTTCCACAGACATAAGCAAATTTAACAATTCCAGTTTGATTCTAGGTAGAGATTGGGCCATTACCTAATATTGGTTCCAATATCCAGGATCTTGCAAATGATGGACCAGGTACAGGCCTAACCTTCAGCATTTTCCTGCATGAAATGACTGCTCTCTCACCCAAACCTACATTCTCAGGCTTGTCATCCAACATTTTCGGTTTTAGCATTGCACCAACCACCAAGCAATGGTGCCTTAGACCCTATCAAAAGATAAACTCAAAAATTAAATGCAAATCATACAAGTAAGAGGAAAAAAAGGAAAAGTACTAAATCCACACCAATCACATTAGCATCCTAAACATGCCCAAAAAGGAAATGGTAGCAGGTTAAAAGCAATAGATATTTCTCCATTTCAGGATAATGGAAGCAAAGCACCCCAGTCATACAGGGGAGAAAGGATCAAACATTACATTTTTCTTTTTTAGTTCATATTGCACAAATGTTTGTTACCTGCAATATGTGACCTCCAATCTTCTGAGCAATACATTTGCCTTCTATTCAGGCCTGCACGGACATAAATGAGTCACTATTTGATGCTATAGGAGAAAAGCCAAATTGTAATTTAAGAACAGTAGCAGGGAGATTTGATCTGGTCATCAAACATGTGAAAACTAGTCATCTATTGTAGCATTTTGGGGAAACCTAAGAAAAAACCTTAATAGCATCATTCTTCATGGCTTTATTAGGGTTTCCACAAAGCTGAATCCTATACATGACAGGCTCAGTCTCTAAACCAGGTTGCCCCCCATAACAATTGTTATTGGATAATTGTTAATAACAGAACCATCAAAAATTAAGTAACGATAATAACTCTTCTCTTACCACTATACATGATTTGGCTAATTTAGTCGGCTTGGATTTGCTTATCTGCTTACAAATCTCCAGTTATCAGTCATCACTGTGAAAACTACACCTTCCTGGCCTTCAAAATCCTATCTAATACAGGGATCATGTAGGTATCTAATGATATTCCCTTGGACGACATTTCATCCATAAGATCCTTAGCCCTCTTCATGTCTCCCTTCCTACAATAGCTGGATATAAGGACCATATATGTTATAGTATCAGGTGATAGTCCACCTTCAATCATTTCATTGAAAAGATCATGAGCACCCTGAAGGTTGTCCATTTTGCAGTACCCATCAATCAAAACAGTGTAGAAAATAACATCAGGTCTGATTTCCATCTCTCTCATATCACTCCACCAAGATGAAGCATCAGCTATGCAATCTTTTATTTCCCCTGAGTGCAAATGGGAATGAATCTTTGTAAAATCTGCCTTTAAATGACCATCAAGCAACACTGTGTATGTGACTACATCAGGTTGAACCCCGTTAGCTTTCATCCTCTCAAATAGATCACAGGCTTCCTGCAAACAATTTATCATGCAGTATCCATTTATCATTATAGTATATGTAATGGCATCCGGTGTTAACCCTCTCTCAATCAAATCATTAAACACATCCCTGGCCTCTGTCACTTTCCTCACCCTACAAAGAGCAGCCATAAGTTCACTATGGGCAATTTGATCTGGGACCATACCAAAATTCAACATTGTCTTAAACACTACAAGTGCTCTATCCACATCATCTCCCTTACAGAGGCTACTGAGAAGTTTCAGGCCAGCACTCCTTTTAACACAGGCCCCTTGCTTAGACAACCTGGAAAACATATCATAGGCTTCTTTTATATGATCTGCTTCACAATACCCATTAACAATGGCAGTCCAGACATCTGGACACTTTTCTTCTAAACCATTAAAAAATTCTTCTGCTTCCTTCACTTTGCCACCAAGACAGAGTCCTTCAATGATTATGGCATATGTAACACTGTTGGGTTTTAAACCTTGTTCATCCATATGATTTAAAAGCCTGAATGCCTCTTCTGCATGACCATTCCTAGAAAACCCACTGGCAAGTACATTGTAAGTTACAATATCAGCCTTAACACCCATTTCCTGCATCTCCTCAAAAACTTCACATGCATCTACCAGTTCGCCCCGCAGGCAATGCCCATTAATCAAGCTTGTGAAGTGTATGGTATCAGGAATCATCTGCTTTCCCTTCATCTCATTGAACAACCTCTTAGCTTCTTCCACTTTGCCCAGCTTGCACAAGGCATCCATTGCAATATTGTATGAGACCTCATCGAGGAAAATCCCTGAATCCCTGTAATATTTGAATTGATCCACCACTTCAGAGGTCATACCCATTTCACAAAAGCATTGGAGGATTGAGCTGATGATCGTACAATTTGTCCTAATACCCTTTGATATCATCTCATTATGGATTGACAGGGCCCTTAGTACATTCCCAGTTCTGCAGTACCCATGAATCAAGCAACTGTAACTATATTCATCAGGTACCACCCCTTGCCTTCCCATGTCAAGAAGCACTTCCTCGGCTGTCTGTAGTTTCATCTCATTGCAAAGACCACGAATCACAACATTGTATGCAAAGGCATTCATTGGTTTTCCAGTCCTCTGCCATATTTGGAGAACTTCATAGCCAAATTCAGACTTTCCATGCAAGCACAATCCATCAAGGAAGGTCGTGTAAGTGAAAGTATCAGGATTTATCCCGGCTTCTTCCATTTCCCCAAGCATATCAAGGGCTTCTTCCAATTTACCCTGTCTGCACAAAGCCTTGATCATGATAGTATAGGTGTAAATATTGGGATTCAATCCCAGCCTCTCCAGCTGCCAGTAAATGGACATCGCCATATCCAGTTTGCCATGCTCAACTAAAGAATTCATCAGGAAATTGAAGGACCAGGCATGGGGGACTAACCCACGCCTCCCAGTCTGGAACAAGGCATCGATAGCCTCATCGAACATGCCAAGACCGACATAGGCCTTGACCAATCCATCAAAAGCCCGAAGCAGTGGACTTGAACGCTTACCCACTCCCTTGTCCTCACATCTCCGGGAGAGTGCTTCGAAAAGATTTGAAATTTCCAAACCAGGGCGGTCGTTCTCCGACGAGAGAAGCTCCGAGAAGAGAGAATCCAGCTTCCTCCCCAGACCCGAGTCACACAGAATCCGAATAATTGTCGCATATGTCTCAACATCATGGCGGAAGCCACGGTCCTTCAACTGGCGAAAGAATGAGAAGGCGAGATTGGGTTCCTTTCTCAAGCTTTTCAGGATTTCAACAACTTCAAAACTATCTAATTCAAAGAAATCACCACTTAAACGACCCCTTCCCTGTACTTTAACCGGTTTGCCATCAGCAGCCGGAACTGAGAAGTGATGATGTAACTCAGCAGCTGCGGCCACCGAATAAAAACGAGAGAATTTGCGAGGAATTATCGATCTTCCACGAGAAAACAATCTAATTTCTGAAACCCACATGGGAATCTATGAGGGTAAAACTTGACAACATATTGCAGATTCAGATCAGAAGAGATGCGTCCATTTCTTCATCTTGTAAAAGTAAAAACCCTACCTTTCTCAGCGGTGAGGAGACGGAAGTGGAAGAACTTACCCGATTTTGAAGGGGAACGATATAGTGTGTGTGAGAGAATGAGAGATTTGTTCAGAAGGAAAACAGTCGTGAAGCTTTCTTGTGGAGATTTTGCAGCTTCCTCTTATGGCTCAAGTGCTAAAACCCTTCTCAGCTCTGTCAAATGGTCGTAAAACCCTACTATTTTCATCCCAGGAGTAGGGCTGCGAACGAAACCCGTTTGTCCGGTTCGAATTCGTATCTAACCCGATTCCGATCTGATATTATGGGTAGGGCTGTTCACGGGTCGGGTTGGGTCGGTTTACTGAGATTTTTTCAACCGACCCGACCTGGTCGGTTTGAATCGGGTTGGGTCGTTTGGGTCGGTTTCGGCTCTAAGTTGTAATAAATTGGTAGATGATTGGAGAAAGAATACTGAAATTTGATGTAAAAAAATGACATAATTCTATTAGAGAAAAAAGACTGAAATTGGTAGGGGCGGACCAAGTTAGAATAGAAGTTATCAAGAAAATAAAAAGCCAAACTGTATTAGAGAAAGAAGACTCTGAAATTTGTATATTTCAAGAAACCTCCTAATCTAAGTAAAAATGACACCTAATTCTAATTGTAATTAGTTGCCTATTTGGTGTAAAAAACCATAAAAACTAGGATCCTTTGATTCTTTTCTTTAAACTTTTCCAAAAAAATTCCTTGTCTAGTTGTCTTACAATACTTGTCATTAATGTCATTCCTAACTAGAAGACTAGAAATTAAGTTATGTTGTAACTAGGATAGGGACAACTTAGCTAAGTAGGAACTAAGTAGGTTGTAAATACTAATTAGGAACTAACTAACTACTAAGTCGGTTCGGTTCGGGTCGGTTTATGATTTTTTACAACCCCAAACTAACCGGTGCTGAAGAAAACCCGACCGATTTGGGTTGGGTCGGTCCTGGTTGGTCGGTTTGGTTGGGTTGGGTCTTCTTATGAACAACCCTAATTATGGGTTAGTGGTGGCCACGAACTACTCGAGCAGCTCGACTCGACTCGATTTCAACTTTCGAGCTGAGCTCGAGCCTAATAAAACTCAGCTCGTGAGACTCGCAAGCCGAACTCGAATAATTTTGCATACATATATAATAATAATAATAATAATAATAATAATAATAATAATAATAATAAGGGTAAATCTCTTAAACTATCATTAATGTTCATGAAATTGGCATGCGTTATTCTTACTGTTTAGTTATTGTCTTGCAGTACTCTTAAGTTTTCTGACACTTGTCATTGCTGTTAAGTGCTAACGGAAGGAAACAAAATGTCAAATTTGCCCTCCACTGTCCTCAAATTTCATCCCCTCTTCTTATTCTCTTTCTCCTTATTCCTCTACTTATCCTCCACCCATCTTTATCTCTATTCATCATCTTCTCGATGATGAACAGAGAACTACCATTGGCATCATCGTAGCCGAAAGTGACGGCGGCCATTACTATTTTGCCCAGAGACTGTGGTGTTTCAGGAGAACTGGTTCAATGGAGGCCTTAGAACTGGTTATGAGAGGATGAACTCTAATTGCAACTAGTTGAGAGGAACTTGAGATCCAGAGGGTTTTCTACCTGAGTAACATGGATCATCGTTGTTTGAATCGTCACCATCCTTCAAATCGCTGCCATCATCGAAATAAGATTTGTCCCTTTGCCTTCTCGATGGTGGAGGACACAAGTGTCTCTTCCTTCTTGGTCCACCGGTTCTTCCATGACTTTCTTCTTCTCCTCCTCGTATCATTTTGTCTCTACTCTAGTTATTTATTTCAAGGTTTGGGGCTCTATTCCGCTGGTAACCGAAGCTTGTCCATCTTAGAGAGATGCTGGTGGTCGGAGGAGTGGGGTTTTCAGACCAGCTAGCATGGAATATTGGCTGAAAATCCAACTTCCATAGTTGTTGGTATTTGCAGACAAGTAGCCAATGCTCTTGGCTTCGTGGTTTTCCGATGCAGTTTCTGGGCGGGATGAAGACGAAGAAAACATGCTTTCTCATCTCTTCATCGAAGGTTTTGGGGGAAACTTCTGTGTCGAAGGGTTGAAGAAGATGAACAGTTACTCAATAGGGATTGTTTCTACAATCGTCTACAATTGTCGTCGACAAAGGGCTCGTCGCGTTTGGTCCATAATTTCCACCTCCACCGCCACCTCTACCTCCATAATTTCCACTACCCCCACCGCCACTCTCATAACCTCCACCACCACTTCCTCCATAATCTCCACCACCGCCACCGCTACCTCCAGAGCCCTCGCTAGCAGCACTTGCATAGCCACTACCACTGTCGGTCCCATAGTTTCTGCCACTGCCAGATCCATAGCCTCTACCAGCACCGCCATCGCCATAGCCTCCACCACCACCTCTGAGAATGGAGGTTTGAGAAATGAAGCTGTATGGGCACAACTCTCGTTCTCTCTCTCTCCCTCTCCCTCTCCCCCTGTTCCTTCGTACTTGTTTCGAAGCTTTCAGCCTCTGAAAATTGTAGTGCATAGTTGCAGGCAACTACCAATCCTCCACCTCCTTTGGAAAGGACTTGGTGCCAGAAAAAACCTAGTGATGTCGGCAAAAGTGGTCGGATACAGACAGCGATAGTGGTGGAGATGGCAACGGAGAGACAGGGAGTGGAACAATTGCAGAGTGGTTTGCTGTAGTTGTCGCCAGGGAGAAGGATGGTGAAGAAGAAGGGAAAGGGACGAAGGGAAAAATTGGGTTTTGAAGAAATTTATGCATCACGTGATGTCACGTGTATGAATTTCAACAAAACATTAACAGATATTAATGGCAGGGGTAGATCTAGTCACTTGTCAAAAAACTTAAGGATACGACAAGACAATAGCTAAACATTGAGGCTACCGTGTGTCAATTTTGTGAATAGTAGGGGTCATGGTTTTCAAAACCGGACTGGACCGGACGGTTGGATTGGAAAAACTAGGCGTTTTTCCCTAAAATCGTTGATTTTGGTCAACAAACCACTGAACTGACGGTTAACCATTCGAACCGTTCAAATGGTTTTGACCATTTTTCAATTTTTTAAAAATTTTTAATCTTTTTTGTCAGAACGAGCCGACCGTTCGAACTGGTAACTAGACCCCTGACCGGTTCAGTTACCGGGTCAGTTTTAAAAACCATGGTAGGGGTAGTTTAAGAGATTTACCCTCATAATAATAATAATAATAATAATAATAATCATCATCATCATCATGATAATAATAATAATAAAGCAATATATATAATAAAAATATTGTAGATGTAATATCTTTAATTTTATATATAATAATAACTAATTATTATAATTTTTAATTTTTTTAAATATCAAATAAAAAATATTATATATATATATTCATTTTTATAAAACATTTTTCTCAATACGAGCTTTTGACTCGAGCCAAGCTTGAGCTCAAGGTTCTAGTTCGAGCCTTGTACCACATTGGCGAGCCAAGCTCAAATTGCTAGCTATTCGGCTCGACTTGGCTTGAATCTACCCGTTTATGGGTTGATCCTGATTTAAATGATTTCCGACTCAATCATCACATAATGGAATAGGAATATCTCTCCATAAATAACAATATATATATATATATATATATATATATATGAGATCACATTAGCACCTCATATGCACATGAATTGGGAGAGGTGGGATTTGCTCCTCATATAGGGCACCTCACAACGACCTTACAGACACATCCCACCATGTATTGAAAACATCTCCCATAAATAATAATACATAAGTAGGGGAGACGGGCAAGAAGAGGGGATATATTACCTTGGAGATTATATGATGCCTTAGATCCAAAAAATTGGCAATTGGGAAAATCTACATATTACATCACATTATTAATATGCTTTAATAATTGCACTAATGGTGATGCTTAAACTCTTTAGCATGTTTTAGTTATATTCATAATTATGTTATTCAACTTGCATTTTTTATAACGTCATGTTCTGGGAGGCAACCAAGCCTATAAATTCTACATCCTTTGGACTATTTTTATGTTTAAATCGTCAAAAATAAAGGTGTGAGAAGGTAATTAAGTATAATTGCAAAACTGAGGGTATGTTTAAATAAATTTATGAAAACTCAAGGTCTATTTTAGTATCAATGATTGATGCAAGTTTAGCCCCATAAGGATCAGATGCTACATGCGAGACCTAATTAATGGTTTAGTAAGGTGACGTTTGATAATCTAAAATCTAAAATCTAAACAGTTTAAATGATATTAAAAATATCCAAAATCTTAAAAGAGGTATGGATGTTTTTTTTTTTACTTTTACAACATCTGAAAATCCATAAATTACTATTTTACTCTTAAGACAGACTATGTGATAATTTTGAGTTCAATTTTCATTATTTTATATAAATAATTTATTAAATTCAAAATAATATTAAGAATATGAATAAATTATAAAAAAAATAAAAATAATTAATTAAAATACAAATAAAACTGACAAATACATATAAATTTATATTAAAAACAAATTATTAAGAGTTAAAATAATAATGAAAATAGTAATAAAATCGATGAAACAATGAAAAAATATTTAATAATTATCAAATTATTAAATTAAAACTATTAAAATATTTAAAATTTTATAAAAAATTAAAATAATTAATAATTAATATAAATAAAAACATTAATATTTAAAAAATTTATAAATTAAAAATAAATTTATAATTTGATAATTATTATAAATAAAATTTTAAGTTATAATTCAGCTTCTCTCTACCACTCTCGAAACCTTCCCTATTTGCTTCCTTCTCCCTCTCACGAACTCCACAGACACAAACCATCGAGCTAGACTCAGAACTCGAGTCGTTCAAACCTCCGTCAAYTCCCCGTGTTATCTGACTCGCTGTCGGAAAAGAGCATAGGAGTTGTCGTTGTTGGAGCTGGGTTTCAGATCTTCGTTACTGCCTGGATCGAGGGTTTCCTTCAAACAGACGTTGTCGACCGATTTATCCTAGATCGAGAGTTTCAGATCTTCATTACTGCCTACCTTGAACAACACCATCGCCGGCCGACTCAGAACAACGATAGTGGCAGTCGACAGGAAGACAGGGGAGAGAGAGAGGGAGGGAGAGGAAAATCGAACAGGACTTCACTCCGCTGCTGAGAAATCGAACAGGACCGCCGCCGGCCGACTGAGAACAAAGAGGCGGTCGGCGGGAAGACAGGGGAGAGAGAACGCAAGAAAGAGGGAGGAAGGGAGAGGGAAATCGAACTGGACCGCTGACTGAGAACGCCACTGCTGAAAAATCGAACAGAACCACCGCCGGTCGATTAAGAACAACGGCAGTGGCGGACGATGAATATAGTGTTTCTTCGAGTTCTCCGTCGCCGTCTCCCTTCGAGCCTTGTCCCTGCGTCACTGATGGTTAGGAGTCGAATGAAAAAATTTGGTTTAAAAAGGGATGCCTTGGGCCTTGCACATGGGCCTACTATAAAGATAATGTGGAGAGGTTGTCTTTTCACACTTTGAACTTGCCACCTCAACACAATGGATGCCTTGCAACCAACTCTACATCAAGTGGATTGGCTTGGAGTTACTTTCTATGTATATAATTTTAGGGTCAATTACTTAAGGGGGTGTGTGACAGTATAATTGGTTTTGTTTTTTGAAAACAAAAACAATTGCTGCATTTGTAAATGATATTGTTTTTGCTGATATGGAAGTTGTTTTTATTTCCAAAAATAAAACCACCATATTGTGTAACCTTTAGGTTGCACAAATCGGCCCCGTTAATGAAACCTTTAGGTTGTTAACTATGATATACATTTTATTACAATTATAATTTTACCCTTCCATGGTAAATTTGCAATGAACAAAGACTCTAASACAAGGAATTCTTATGGGAAAAAATAATTAAAGGGAAGTATGGCTTGCAAACTAGGGATGCAAATAGGTCGGATTGGATTTGAATTAGGGTATATCTAAATTTGATCCGATACTATAATTTGTAGATCTGATCCACTATGAAGGCCCAATTGGATTTTATAAGCATTGATTCATTCTGAATCCGTTAAGGATGTTGAACATCCGATTTTGATTTGATTCAATTTAATTTTAAAAAATAATAAATTATTAAAGTGAAAAAGAAAATATAACAGTTTATATAAAGAAAAACAAAAAATACAAGTATTTTTCAACTAGTTTCATCACATATATACATATTTAATATAAAAATTTACAAAAATGCAATATAAATATATTTATAAATAAATAAATAACACACACAATCAGATAGAGAGGTGATCCATATTCAATATGATTTTTAACTAAATCCTATTATATGATCCGATCCAAAAATTCAAAAAAGGGATATCCAAATCTGACAAAATAGGACCGAATTTCGGATGTTGCAATCCATTTTGCACAAGCATGGCTTGAAAGTATACTTGAATCAAGTGAAACGATGACAATACTTATGGTTTTCATGTCCACAACACCGGATTTTTGTTTAGAAAGTCATCAATAACAATTTTGGAGTCTAACTTCAATCAATAAGTGCCTACGAACTAACTAGACCATGGGTAGAGCCAAGGGACCCAAGGGAGCCATAGCTCCCTTATGGTCCAGAAATTCCCATTTGTAATATACTCTTCCACGCAAATTTTCCCCCTCCCCCGCTCCCCATCCCAATGGTCTCCCCTCATGGCCCATCAATATGAACAAGATTTCCTACTCACTTTCTCTACCTACCTGTACCCTATCCATATTAAACTTACCCACACATCTCACAATTCAAGATGGCGATGTATGGCTGCAATTCAAGGTAGGTAGAGTGTGGGTAGGAAATCTAGTTTGCATCAATATTTGTTCTCCCCCCTCCCCCCAACAATCAACTTTAGGTTTTGACCCCCTCATAAAAATTCCTAGCTTTGCGTCCCTATTGGCAGAGATGACTTGGAGCTTGATTTTCCAACTAAGTAGCTGATTTGCAAGAAAGACGACGTCAGAGAGCCCAAGTGAATGTCTTGAGCAAGGGTCTCTGGCGCTCAAGTCAATATACCCCAAGCTCTTTGAGATGACAAACAAGTCTACAAGTAGGAATCAAAGTGAATAAGTGGGTATGTGTGCATATATGTGAGTGTACCTTCTGAGGGTGAAGGCTCATCTGTATATAGACCTCGAGGATCGGTTGAGACGTGCTCGACATGTTCGGGCTGCTAATGCCTATCTATTTGTTGCTTCTAGGATATGCCCACACGGCACCACGTGCGGGTGTCCTTATCCACTGCCCCACAAGGCGGGGGTGAGTGGATTTATTACTGCCAGGTAGGCATTGTGTCCATATATGTCTCAAGCCAACTATCTAGTGCAAATGGGGAAGAGAGGGAGTGTGCCATGTAGGTTAGAGGTGTGCTAAGGTCGAAGAGGTCCCTTAGGCCATAGGCTGCCCAGGTCAAGTGAGTAGGTTGGAAAGCACTGTATAGTCAAGTCGAACGTGTGCTCCAGGCTAATAGGACGATTTGCTGAGGTGTCCTTAT